TCAGGCCCATTCGGTAACGAAAATTTGGGCTGGATTTTTGGGGCAAAAAATTCCATAAACAAACATCACCTAAATTCTCTCAAATGTTATGGTACACCACATCATGAGTTGAATTTGAAGGTGAGAACCCCGATTATGCTGTTGCGGAACATGAGATCATTTTATGGGATTCTGTAACGAGACACGTTTGGTTGTAACCAGACTCTCTAATCATGTCCTAGAATGTAGGATACTTACTTGCGACCATGCATGAGATAAAGTGTTGGTACCTCGAATGACAATAACTCATTCGGATGCAAGAATACCTTTTAAGTTTCAACGAAGGCAATTCCCTATCGTGGTCTCTTATGCAATGACTATTAACAAGAGCTAGGGTCAATCCTTATCCCACGTTAGTTTATTCTTGAAGAAACCAGTTTTCAGTCATGTCCAGTTATATGTTGTTGTTTCGTGCATCACCAACAAAAAGGGTTTGAAAATTCTAATATGTGGTGAACATGAGTTGCCTCCGAATCAAACAAATAATGTCGTGTACAGAGAAGTATTTAGTAATATATAATTTCTTTTTTTTTTTAATTCTTATTTTGTTTCCATAGTTAGATGTTAAATTTAATTACATTTAAAATGAGTATTTCAATATGTTCTAAGTTATGCGCCCACCGTGTATCGCCCACCGTGTATCGCACGGGATGCACTAGTATTTATTGATAATGTTTAGATATGTTAAATTTTTATTTTACTTAGTTATAAACAAATACTATAAACGATGAAATAAATATAATAAAATAAAAGAAAAAATAATATCAATATTCAAAATTATATCAACATTGCTTTACTAGAATCAATTTATACACCGTGAAAATAATAAGCACAACCTTGAATAAAAATGTCGGTTAATCAGATGCTTCGCGCTCCTGCCTCCTTCACTCGGGAACTCGAAACTATTGGTGGGCAATCCTAATCGCACATCCGATATCGTGTACGTGTCCATATCAAATTGGATGCATAACAAAGCTAAGCTGCACTCGACTACAGCGCAACTCTGCCTTCTGACTAATATGCAATGACTATATAGCCCTTGACTTCCTCACAAATCCCCTCCATATCCCCGCCGATAGCCTACCCTCTCAACCCCAGAAGTCTTTTAATCTCTCTTTCTCTCTCTCTCTCTCTCTAGCCCCCCCTTTCTCTCTCTCCCTCCACTTTCTCATTCTCTCTCTTAAATTACGCTTATTTCTGTAAGATTTGTCGATCAGGCGGCCGTGTCACATCTCCGGCCATGACGATGATGACTCCTCCACCGTTGGATGTAACTCCATCTCCTTTTCCTCTCCGATTTTCCCAGCTTATGCTCATTTTCTCTCTTCCGTCGTCTGTGTCAGTAGATGTGCATGCATATCCCAATTCTTTGGTTACGAATTTCCTCACTCTAATGTCCTGCAGAGCGAAGAATTCTTTGCGTGTGTGTGCGTGTTTGTGTTTGGAGATTGAGTGGTTGTGATCAACTAGGGTTTTTGAGTTGGCTGAAGTGGGTTTAAGTTATTCAATTTGTTCTGATTTCTTGCGAAGTTTGATAGAGGAATGCGAGTAATTGGATACGAGGCTTCAATTTAGGAAGAATAGTTTTTGGGTTTCTCGGATCAAGATTGTTTGATTTAACTTTTCTTGGTTTCTGTGACTGTAGCATCAGGAAGATGAAGAAATGCTGGTGCCTCACTCGGATGTTGTGGAAGGTCCTCAGCCGTTAGTTGAAGGACCTCAGCCGATGGAAGGTGCCGACTCCCTTTCTGCTTGATCCTTTTGCTCGTTTGTTTATTTTGTGGATAGAGCTTGTGCGCCTGTGAAGTACTATCTTGTTTTCTGATTTTGTTGTTTCCTGGAAGGCTGTTGTTCAGGTTTTGTTTATTCGTGTTCGCCAATGAGTTGCCATGTTGTTAAAGTTTAAGATTTCTGCAAATTTAATTGTGGTTCAAAATGTTGTTTCTTTTTCCCCCCTTGAAAATCACATTTTGATAGCATTTTCCAATTTAAGTGGTGCCAGCGGAAAATGCTGGAGCCGTGGAAAACCAGGTGAATGATGACCCACAACCATCTCGTTTCATGTGGACAATTGAGAACTTCTCCAGATTGAATATGAAGAAGCAGTATTCTGACGTCTTCGTTGTTGGGGGTTATAAATGGTGATTTCTCTTTACCTCTTTCCACAGTATTGTTGGGTACTAGGAAGGAAATTCGATATGTTAGTTGGAACAAATTGGCAAAACAAAAATACAAATGTTTCTTTATTTGGCCATTAGTTCTGAGACGAGATCTTACTGATTTAGTTTTCTGCGTTTCCTTTCTTTTTCGAGAGTGATAGCTTACCTTTCAAGTTACATTGGTTTGTACAGGCGTGTGCTCATATTTCCGAAAGGAAATAACGTGGACCACTTGTCGATGTATTTAGATGTGGCTGATTCAGCTACTTTGCCATATGGGTGGAGTAGATATGCACAGTTTAGCTTGGCTGTAGTTAATCAAATGGATAACAAATTTACAATGAAAAAAGGTACATCCGTGAAATCCCTTGTGTCTGATTACTTATATCAGTAGAAAACTTCTGTGATATCTTTTTGCTGTTAGCTTACTTTTGTGACGTTTTATCATAATGCTGTGATTGGAATTTGTCCTTTTATTTCTTTCAATCACTCCATAACCCCTCACTTCTTCACCATTACAAAGAAAACGGTTAAAAAAGATCTTGGAGATGCTGTGATGATTACTCTTCTCTAGATGATTTAGCCATCCATCTGACATTTGTCTCTCTTCCTTTACTTTCTTATGTAATGACTTGTCACATTATGGTCAAAGATCATAATTTACACTTCAGTGGGTTAATGTGTTATCTGGTGAAAATATAAACTTCATCTGTATTACTGGTCCTGGATAAAGAGTCTACTTGCCTCAGTTGTGATGAAATTAGTCTTCTTGTGGATCCACAGACACGCAGCACCAGTTCAATCAAAGGGAGAGTGATTGGGGTTTCACATCTTTCATGCCTCTTTGTGATCTTTATGATCCGCAGAAAGGGTACCTCGTCAACGATACTTGTATTATTCAAGCTGATGTAGCCGTACGCAAGGTCATTGATTATTGGACATATGACTCGAAGAAGGAGACGGGCTATGTTGGACTTAAGAATCAGGGAGCAACTTGTTACATGAATTCTCTGCTCCAAACCTTATACCACATTCCTTACTTCAGAAAGGTTTTTAGTTTTGTTGGTTCATTTTTCTGATATATTGGTTTTGACGTGTGTCAATGATGAAAGATGAAGCCTCTTAAAAAAATGTTTTTCAGGCTGTATATCACATGCCGACAACAGAAAATGATAACCCCAGTGGAAGCATCCCTTTGGCATTGCAGAGTTTATTTTATAAGCTCCAATATCATGACACCAGTGTTGCTACAAAAGAACTGACGAAATCATTTGGATGGGACACATATGATTCGTTTATGCAACATGACGTGCAAGAACTTAACAGAGTTTTATGTGAAAAGCTCGAAGACAAGATGAAGGTACTAGTGTCCAAC